GTTTGCGTATACTCGCAGATCTCTTTGAAAAACGTCGTCTACATCCCGGGGAAACAAATGATCTTCTTAACTTAACCTCTCTCTGTATGAAACAAAACTATTTCCGGTTTAATAACCGTTTCTATTTACAAAAAGAAGGGTTAGCTATGGGGTCCCCTCTAAGTCCCCTGATGGCGGACATTTTCATGGATAATTTCGAAAAACAACATATAGTTGTCAATCAAAATATCTTATATTACTATCGATATGTAGACGACATAATTATTTGCTGGACTGGCACAAGGAGACAACTGGATGTTTTCCTCAATAAAATAAATAGAGTCCATGACAAAATTAAATTTAAACTTGAATTGGAACAAGATTGTTCCCTTAATTTTCTTGACTTAACAATAACAAGAAAAGAATCGTCACATGTTTTCCAAATTTATCGAAAGCCAACTCACACCGACACGGTCATCCCCGCGTCATCATGTCATCCATGGCAACATAAAGTAGCCGCTTTTTATTGTTACATTAACCGTTTGTTCACTGTCCCATTAAGTAAAGAAGATTATTTAAAAGAACTTAATATAATTTATCAAATAGCGGTCTCTAACGGTTTTTCAAAAAATCTCATTAACAATTTAATTAAAAAGAAACAAAAGCATGTTATTCGCAACTCTCTGTACGCGGTTCAACCTCAAAGTGTTCATCGATATGTGAGCAGTTTGACCTACTTAGGCCCCATATCTGAAAAAGTAGCTAATACTCTTCGACAAAACGGCGTTCATGTGGCGTTCAAAACAAACAATTCTCTCAGAAATATCTGTAATAGTAAAGATAAGTTAGATATTCGTCAAAAGTCAGGTGTTTACAAACTTGTTTGTGACGAATGCCACGCCGTTTACGTGGGTCAGACTGGTCGCAATTTCGAGACACGTTATAAAGAGCATTTAGCCGCGTACAGGAATTGCAATCCCGATAAATCCCATTTTGCCAAACATCTTTTGGACACTGGACACAACCTAGCCAACGACCACTCCTTTAAAGTCTTACATACGTGTAATAAAGGGCTGCGGCTGTGTGTGCTGGAACAGTTAGAGATAATAAAAAGTAATAATAATACCGTTGCATTGCTGAATGAACAAACAAATGTTACTAACTCACCTCTCTTAAATATCTTCAAGCCTGCTCTCTAATAATGAAGGCGTTGCGCGGCGGTTTGTTTTTAATTTTACAAACGGCTGCGTAAGTCTAGCGGTGATTGGTCGCATGTTTTATCGCATGACGCAATCGCTCGCTCGTTAGGTAGAGAGCGGTTGCATCATCGGTTTGTATAAAAGGCACTTGTTTTGGCTCGCCGCTCACTTAGCGGTTAGCCACCGTAGAGTCTATATCACCTGAGGATGCCTCGTGTAGAGGCGAAACACGTGTCGTATTATCGTCAGTGGTGTGTCTTGCCTAGTGTAGTGGTGTTGGAAGTAGCGGTGCTGGGATTAGTGGTGACGGGGATAGTGCACGCAATTGAGGGAGGGCGGGAGGTGCTTCTTCATACTAGGTAAGACACATCATTTTATTTTATAACGCGGATATTTGCGAAGTAAATTTTTGTAAAAGCTTTTATATAATGGATTTCCGCAAAGTAACGCCTGATTCTATTAATTATATTAAAAAGGCTAGCACGGCCGACCAGGCAAGACTCTATGTCAAATTAACAAAACTCCATCGTATTGCTGCCCAAAATGTTTGGTTCAATCAGCAGTGCAAACAACTTCATGTTATTCCCAATTATATTCAAATACGTTCCAGCACAAATAGTCGATCGGCCAGTATTGCTATTTCTAAAGCTCAGAACATTTGGCTTAATGAGGAGTGTCGTCGTTGGTTTTCCAATAGAGATAATTTAAAAATCCACCTTAAAGTATTATACTCTGAACTTTCATATAAATTACATAATATTGAATTTGATATTTTGGATGGGAAAGCCAGAGAACTTGCTTCAATGGCTGTTTATGAGAAATATCAAATTCAGTCCCGTAAATTACAACGACTTGTATCCTCTTCATCCCGTAATCGTAATAACGACATACATACAGAATATCACCAATTTTATCCCCGAGTTAAAAATCTTTCCGATGTCCAGTTTCCAACAGATGAGTTGTCCCTTTTACATAAAGGCCTAAAGTATAATTTAACACCTTCGGTCTCCCAAAAATCGTTAGAGACTATGGCTGTTGACGCGGAGGTGGCTGTTGTGATCGGGAGGAAAGATAACATCGTTAAAAGTTTGGTAGCTAATGAAATTCGGGCTGTGCCCACGTCTTCCCATTTCAATCCTGAGTTCCCTGTTTTTAAGTCCCTAAAGCAGAGAATAAGGGAAAACGACCTTATTGTTACTAAAGCCGATAAAGGCAATACTGTTGTTATTATGGAGAGTAGTGGGTACAGCCAGAAAGTTAACGATGTTATCCAAGGTGATGACTTTGAGCTATTGGAGTCTGACCCAACCAAAAAGTTTACTTCGGATATTAAGTTATGTATACAACAGTCATCATATGTTTTTTCCCGATCACAACTTGTCTCGGAGCAATCTTGTTCCAATGAATCCTCAAGCACCCATTTTATATGGGTTACCAAAAATACATAAAGAACATGTTCCTATTCGTCCAGTTGTCTCATATATTGGTGCACCAGCTTATTTCCTTGCTAAAAAATTAAACTTCCTCCTTCGAGAGAAATCTGGATTCAACCCCACTTACAGCCTAAAAAATGGCTTAGATCTCATTTCCAAAATTAAAGATATTCGTATTCCTCCTAAATCCATATTGTTATCTTTAGACGTTGATAGTCTTTTCACAAATGTCCCATCTCCTGACTGTTTGCGTATACTCGCAGATCTCTTTGAAAAACGTCGTCTACATCCCGGGGAAACAAATGATCTTCTTAACTTAACCTCTCTCTGTATGAAACAAAACTATTTCCGGTTTAATAACCGTTTCTATTTACAAAAAGAAGGGTTAGCTATGGGGTCCCCTCTAAGTCCCCTGATGGCGGACATTTTCATGGATAATTTCGAAAAACAACATATAGTTGTCAATCAAAATATCTTATATTACTATCGATATGTAGACGACATAATTATTTGCTGGACTGGCACAAGGAGACAACTGGATGTTTTCCTCAATAAAATAAATAGAGTCCATGACAAAATTAAATTTAAACTTGAATTGGAACAAGATTGTTCCCTTAATTTTCTTGACTTAACAATAACAAGAAAAGAATCGTCACATGTTTTCCAAATTTATCGAAAGCCAACTCACACCGACACGGTCATCCCCGCGTCATCATGTCATCCATGGCAACATAAAGTAGCCGCTTTTTATTGTTACATTAACCGTTTGTTCACTGTCCCATTAAGTAAAGAAGATTATTTAAAAGAACTTAATATAATTTATCAAATAGCGGTCTCTAACGGTTTTTCAAAAAATCTCATTAACAATTTAATTAAAAAGAAACAAAAGCATGTTATTCGCAACTCTCTGTACGCGGTTCAACCTCAAAGTGTTCATCGATATGTGAGCAGTTTGACCTACTTAGGCCCCATATCTGAAAAAGTAGCTAATACTCTTCGACAAAACGGCGTTCATGTGGCGTTCAAAACAAACAATTCTCTCAGAAATATCTGTAATAGTAAAGATAAGTTAGATATTCGTCAAAAGTCAGGTGTTTACAAACTTGTTTGTGACGAATGCCACGCCGTTTACGTGGGTCAGACTGGTCGCAATTTCGAGACACGTTATAAAGAGCATTTAGCCGCGTACAGGAATTGCAATCCCGATAAATCCCATTTTGCCAAACATCTTTTGGACACTGGACACAACCTAGCCAACGACCACTCCTTTAAAGTCTTACATACGTGTAATAAAGGGCTGCGGCTGTGTGTGCTGGAACAGTTAGAGATAATAAAAAGTAATAATAATACCGTTGCATTGCTGAATGAACAAACAAATGTTACTAACTCACCTCTCTTAAATATCTTCAAGCCTGCTCTCTAATAATGAAGGCGTTGCGCGGCGGTTTGTTTTTAATTTTACAAACGGCTGCGTAAGTCTAGCGGTGATTGGTCGCATGTTTTATCGCATGACGCAATCGCTCGCTCGTTAGGTAGAGAGCGGTTGCATCATCGGTTTGTATAAAAGGCACTTGTTTTGGCTCGCCGCTCACTTAGCGGTTAGCCACCGTAGAGTCTATATCACCTGAGGATGCCTCGTGTAGAGGCGAAACACGTGTCGTATTATCGTCAGTGGTGTGTCTTGCCTAGTGTAGTGGTGTTGGAAGTAGCGGTGCTGGGATTAGTGGTGACGGGGATAGTGCACGCAATTGAGGGAGGGCGGGAGGTGCTTCTTCATACTAGGTAAGACACATCATTTTATTTTATAACGCGGATATTTGCGAAGTAAATTTTTGTAAAAGCTTTTATATAGTGGCTGAAGAATTTAAATATATACGGCCATGTGTGCGCACGAGGTGTTATGAGGAAATTTTAAAATATCTACGGCAAGCAAAAGGCCAACATGTTGGTCAACTACAACATGAAAGCACCGAAAACTAATATTGGGTGACGTTTCTTTAAATTTCTATAGTTGTATTGATCATTATAATCAATAAAAATAAATTTTAAAACTTGTTTTTAATATTACTTAAGTATTTACACAAATTAAATAAACACCCAATTTTTTGGGTGTTTATGGGTGTTTACGGGTGTTTATTGGGTTTTTACCAAAGCACCGGGTTTTAACCCGGTGCTTTGCCCATCTGTACTTCTAACACAAGCATTTTAAGCTTACCAGAAGTGGTTAAAAGCATTACTAGCATTTAAAAAAAGAGATATTCCGAAACGGCTTCTCGAAACGGAATTCCGAATGTATGTGGCGGGCCTAACTCTTTTACGAGTATTATGGTACAGTATTCACAACGTTACAAAAATAGTATGCGGTAAGCTATTCCAGGTGGTGCATTACCGAAACTCCTCTCCAATGGGGCTGAAGCAAAGCACGATACGCATGTTGGCACGCACGCGGTCCACCAGGAACAGATACACCGATTCTGCCGTTTGCAATATGTTCGCAGACTTCATCGGCTTCTCTAGAGCTTGCTTTATCTGTCAATTGAAAATGCACGAGCCTGTATACAATGCAGTCTTAAAGTATGTCTCAAGTTAAATGAACATGACGTCACCAAGTTTCTTAACACCCTTCATCATCGCATAATTACACCCCACTATAAGTCCACTACCATAGGCCTCTCACAAAGAAGATAACCTTTCCTCGAGAACCTTTCTTCCCCATGGATTGTCGGTTGCCAGGTTGCCGGCATATTTCTACTTCAGCTTACTGATTTATTAGGGTATGTCGATTACTCTGGTTCTACTGCAGACTAGCTGATACTTGCGACTTCGTCCGCGTCGTTTACACACATCTATAAACACGCAGTGCTTATAAAAATCGTTTTTCTTAGAACTTTAGTAACTTTATATTAAACGAAAATGTTGCTATAATTTTTTTGGTAAGGACCAAGTGTCTAAAAAATAAAAGTTAGAAAACCTTATAGACAAATAATAGCAAACCGCTATCATTTTATTTATATAGATATCATCAATACGAAGTTTCGCTCAGTGACCTTGAGCTTATATACGTGGTAGTACCATACTGCAGGTATATTAGTACTATAGTTGTAGCACGAATGGATCGGCTCGACCGGGAAAGGACCGCGCTCTCAGAGAATACCAGCGTTAAATAGCAATATTTAAATTAAAAATGGGAGAATAATTAGTTAAGTCCGCTTGAAAAATAACATTGAAAAATAAATCTGTAATTTGGAAAAAGTAGAGTAATAGATATAGTATAAGAAAGCTTTTTTACAGGATAAGATGACAAACAAGCACACAGTCCACCTGATGGTAGGTGGTGCATGTGGCCCATAGACATCTACATCTATCCTCGTTTGTGAATCAAAATGTAGATGCGTTGTCACCCGTGAGGACTAAGATGAAATGCCTATTTTCCAGTAAAAAGGGTCTACGGTTCTCTACACTCACCATACGAAACACAGCAGTGTTGATCTGTTATTTTACGCTGGTATTCTGTGAGAGCGTGGGCCTTCCCCGGTCGAGCCGACCCATTCGTGCTACAACTATACTACTAATATAGCTGCAGTATGACTCTACCACGTAAAAAAGTAAATAGGTTTGGTCACCCACGGTGAACAAAGAGGATTTTAACACAAGGCTCCCGATTAAAAAGCTGACTAAACTTCTCGGGGTTCCGCAGAATGCGTGATAAAAACTCACGTCTTCGAACTCATCAGGCTTGTACAGGTTGGTGATCTCGCCGCTACTAAGCAAGTTGTTCATGATCTCCGTAAAGCTTTCCTCGACTATCTGCGTGTCGTTGAAGATGAACGTGGTTTTCTTTGTGTCCACACCGCAGCTCGTGTACATAACCTGGAATCAGAAAATTGATTCTAATATTCCATTGTATGATATTATGATTTATTGTCCGTGTTTGTTGATTTTATTGAATGAATAATGACATAATGTTTTAAATTTCATTATTTTAATAATGTTGTAAGCCTTAATGGCTTTCAATATTGTGTACGGTGCCTAACCGCTAAGTGTAACCGTAGAGTCTATACCACCTGAGGATGCCTCGTGTAGAGGCGAAACACGTGTCGTATTGTCGTCAGTGGTATTTCTTTCCTAGTGTAGTGGTGCTGGGATTAGTGGTGACGAGGATAGTGCACGCAATTGAGGTAGGGCGGGAGGCGCTCTTCAAATTAGGTAAGACACATCATTTTATTTTATCTAGCGGATGTACGCAAAGTAATTTTTTGTCAAATTTAATATAATGGACTTCCGCAAAGTAACGCCTGATTCTATTAATTATCATAATTCATAATTCATTTATTGCATGTCACAAGTATAAAGTTGTTACAATATATCTACAGAGCATGTGACAACCCTGTACGGGCGTAGCATATTAAGATGGATTTTAATTAAAAGCTGTTACAAAAATTTACTTCGCAAATGTCCGCTTTATAAAATAAAATGGTGTCTTACCTAGTATGAAGAGCGCCTCCCGCCCTCCCTCAATTGCGTGCACTAGCCCCGTCACCACTAAACCCAGCACCACTACACTAGGAAAGAAATACCACTGACGACAATACGACACGTGTTTCGCCTCTACACGAGGCATCCTCAGGTGGTATAGGCTTCTTCATACTAGGTAAGACACATCATTTTATTTTATAACGCGGATATTTGCGAAGTAAATTTTTGTAAAAGCTTTTATATAATGGATTTCCGCAAAGTAACGCCTGATTCTATTAATTATATGGATTTTAATTGTTAATTAATATGAAATCATATTAAATTACAATTTTTAAGGTACATAATCTATACATTATTATTAATTAATTTATTAAATATCAAACTAAATAATACACACATTTATTTAAAATTAAATAAATGTGTGTATCGTATAAAGTTAAATCTCTGAAACATATATCTAGCACAAAAATTGACTTTTCTATTATATTTTCAATCAACTTCGCTTCGCTAAGGTAGAATCAATTAATGTGGCATTATTTAGATATCATTATATACTTAAGAATAGTTACAGGCCATTTGTTTTATAAACTTTTCGTTTTTTTTTATAATTTAAATACTTGATCCGTACACCCCATTACATTTCTAAATCCAGCTTGCACATCCCAAATGTTTCCATGAGTTTCTTTCATAACACTTTCAATGACCTCAGCATACAATTCTCCCACAATGCTAAGAAGACTGATACCACGGTAGTTTGTACAGTCTTGCTGTGAACTTTTTCCCTTATTTATTTTGACTATCACGGCTTTGCACCAGTCTCCCGACACCCGCTTCAGTTCACAACATAAATTGAACAAGGTGTACAGCAGATATGCCACCACTCCCTCTCCAGCCCTTAGCATTTCGATTGATACTCTGTCATATCCGTGTGCTTTACCTGCTTTCATGCTTTTTATTGCTTTCATCTATACTTATCTCCTTAACTCTTTCCTCTTCTTTCGGAATTTCTAGTTCATTTAATTCAAATGTCTCCTCACTCATAAACACGCTTTCAAAGTATTCTTTCCATCTGTTTAAACTCGACACTTTGTCATTCAAAATACAGCCATTATCGTATAGCATTCATTCTAGGATATTTTGAATTTCCCCTGTCAGTTCTTATGAGTTTCCATAACATTTTAATATTTGCCTGGAAGTTAGCAGATATCCATCTATCATCTTATCCGTTCTTTCTTGCTTTTTCCTTTCAACTACTTCTTTTACTTTCCTATTTAGAGGTCTGTCTTTTTTCTTTCAATCTCATCATTCACGCCGCCACAATTACCAGCTTTGGTTGCTAGTAAATGTAGCCATGCTCTTTTTTTTGCTTCAACTTCCATCCGTACCTCATCATCCCACCATAACGTATTATTTTTCCTTTCATTTGTTCCCTTACTTATACCATATACTTCGGTGGCCACATCCACCAAACCTTTCTTAACATTATCCCACACAGTCGCCAATTCTAAATTTTTTATTTATTATTATTTTTATTTATTTATTCATACAATCAATTCATCCAAACCACTTACATTTTCTCTCTGTCTACATTTCTACTTCTCTTTCACACCTTCACCTTGTAACCTATCTATTTTCATACGCTATAACGCAGATGTAGACACAGATGTCCGATGCCGCCAACGTCTGAATTGACCATTAATTCGTCATAAGATTAAGTAATGACCCGTCCCTACGTTTACGTAACTTTACTTTCTACGCTTCTCATTCTTTCATCCACAATTATGAAATTTATCATGCTTCTATCATCACCTCTTTCTCATGTATGAATATGAATCTTCTTATGACGAAAGAAAGATTTCGTCACAAAAATTCTTTACCACGCATACGGAGAGGTGGCGCTTCCACCATTCTTATTTATACATTCATCACCAAACGTTCACAATATCCTTTCATAACCAGGCCTCTTCACCCCATCCCTTGCGTTAAAATGTCCTAACATAACAATATTTTCATTTCCCTGGCATTTCATTAACACTATCTTTACCATCTCTCAAAACTGCTCGCGGATGTAACTGGGTTTAGACATGTCTGGGGACGTAGACCCCTAGAACAAACAACTTCTTTAAGCCCACTTTCATTCGTATATATAGCAGCCTCGGGCTTACACATTCATAGTTATTCACACAGTCACCCATTTTTTCTGAAAGGACGATACCAACTCCCTGACATTCCCGCTCGGTCTCGTCTACACCAGACCAGTAAGCGGTATACATGCCATGTGCAGTGGCATCCTGTCCCTTCTGTTTCCTCTTATCTATACATAACACATCTATTCCTCTATCATCCATCATTTCGCATACTTCATCCATCTATCATTCATTGCTCCACATACCTACAATTCATTTTATATGTCTAGATGTATAGATATAGATTACTGATTTGTTTGTCCAGCCATTGTGAGTAAATTGCTAAACGTTTGCCTTTCGTATTTTAATGCGTAATTGAGCCTATAGAAGATACTTATTTAAAACTAGCTGTTTCCCGCGACTTCGCCCGCGTGGAGTTATTTTTCGCGGAACCCTAAAATAAAAGCAGCCCAAGTTACTCCTTATAACATCAGCTGTCTGTGTGTATAAATATTGACAAATATTGACATTAATATTTATACGATACTAACGGCACCCAATTGTTTTGCCTTCCCGAAACCCCTCCACTAACACTTAAACTTTATGGTAGGGTATTAAAGTTCAAATTGACTTTTAAGTATTATTACGAATCTTTCGTATGGGAACATAGAAAAGCGTTGTTTTTAGATTTTTCAGGCAATTTTTAAATTTTTCTCTCCGTAAGAACCATCTTCGTACTTCAAGCAATATTATTAAAAAAGAATTAGCGAAATCGGTTCAGCTGCTCTCGAGATTTGCGCTTAGCAACACATTCAGCGATTCATTTTAATATTATAGATATAGCCTATAGTGTGTATTTAAAACAGGGGTCCGATCTTTAGTACTGCGGCTCTAACCTCCTAAAATGCGCGGTGGAGCCAAGCTGCACTAAACATGGGAATTTGAATCACATAGAGCCGTGGTAGCTCAGATGGCTAGCGCTCGCTGTTAATTTCACAGTACGCGAGCAACCCGGGTTCGACCCCGCCAAAACACCAATCAAATAGTTAGTTGCAATTTTAAGTGCTGATTTAACACGTGCCCGGCGATGAAGGAAACATCGTGAGCAAATGAAAAAATAATATTTCGAAGACATGTGAAGTTCGTAAACACGCATTGAGGCAGCGCGGCGGACACTTCCTTGCCCTAAAACCCTCTCAGAAACCAGAGGAGGCCAGTGCCCAGCAGTGAGACGTATATAGGTTGTAACTTAACACTGATATTACATATATGATACATATATCAAAACGTATATATTATCCCAAAAGTAGAGAAACACACTAAGTACACACTGGGCTTACTTATATATAATTACAAACTACAAATATAAAAATCAAAATTTATGGAACGAATCGGAGCAAATAAAATTTAAATTCGTACGAAAATTACAATACCAAATCCAAAACGGCCTAGACGGCAACCTTCTTTACTAAATCTTTACTATATACATACTTACACACTATATACTAATGAGCTATAAAGGGTTATTTTTCAATAGTAGCCAAATTTTAAATTTAAGTTCAAATATATAAACAACTAGCTGGTCAGACAGATGTTGTTCTGCCCTCTCCGACGACCATTTGTCCTATTAAAAAATCCCTAAATTCGTAATTAAAAATATTGAGGGTCACTTATCGGGATAAAAACTATCCTATCTCTCAAGTTGAACCAAACTGCACACAGTGTGCAATATTTCATTGAAATCAGTTTAGTACTTTAAGAGTTCATCACGGACAAACAATGCGACACGTAATTTTTAAATATAAAGATAATATACCGTTATTGCAGATTTTGAAAAACGAGTAAATAAGGATTGGTTTTTTATTTGAAACTATCCCAAATTGAATGTAATTTATGGGCAACAACGTTTTTGTCTACCGAGTACCGATCGACCATTACGATTGTATGCGTGCGCAGTAAAATCAGTTAAAATAATGCATTATCACGCATTATGAATTTAAAAGATAAAAAGGACAGAATGTTTGAGATTTTTTAATTAAGTTTTATTCACCATTTGCCTATATTACTTATTCTAAATCTTCTCTGCAAATTTAGCCGGTTATTGCAAAATAACCTTGAATAATTTCAAACTATATACATAAAAGTATGAAAATAATAACATGAAGCAAATTATCGGCAAAAACAAGTTGAAATTCGTACATAAATAACTACAATACTTAATCCACAAAGGCCTATACGGCAACCTTTAGATCTTCGCGGAAATCCTTAACACCATACGTCTTGGTGACCACAACTTGGAATGAATTGCACTCGCAGATATAAGAAGCGAGGCGCGTTAGGCTCTGACGACCGGAACCTCCTGGGATTTCATAGTGTTTATTGCACCAGTAAATACTCTGATGAAGATGCGATGGTGGCGATGTAAGAGAATCTATCACCCCATTTTGTCCCGTGGGTGTCATAACAGACAACTGTGGGAAATGTCATAAAAATCTCAAAGCTACGGGCAGTATAACTATTTCGATTACGTCAGACGAGACGTATAATAATGCGATGTTTAAGGTACATTCTCCTTACAACGGTGAAGTAGATCACCTCTGGTAATGATAAAGGACATTCAATGAGGCCTAATAATCTTCGACTCATCAGATGTCGCTAGTTGTGACTGAGGTGAAGTTTTATTGTTACACAATGTCAGTTAATTGAGAAATTAGTTTTAAATAATAGTTTATCAGTTTCTAGAGTGTTGTATTAATACACAACACAATGCGTCAGTGAATTGATCTTTATTTTTTTTACTTTATACCTCTTTTTTAATGTTTTTTTTTTTTACTATTAGTTATATATAGTTTAGTTTATTTATTTCTAATGTAATTAATGTAAAATATAACTAATAATACAGAAAGAAACATTAACCTTTACATGTTTCTAAAAGTTATCTTCTCCGCTGTGAAATCTGTCAAATGATTTACCTCATTGTAAAGAGGCGCCGCCCTGGTGACAGAAAAAGTCGTGGAGTCGCCCTCATTCAAAACAGATTCAAGCACATAACTTAAGCAAAGTTTCCCTTGTTGCTTGATTATTTACACTTTTTTTTATAATTCTTTGAAATGACAAACTTAACTTGTACATAGATTTGTGAGTATCCGTCATAAACTTTACACATATTTAAAGTATTTCTATTTCTGTACTCATTTACAAGCCTGGTACGTTTGTATGGTGATTTCTACTGGAAACAGTGACTGTTTACCATCAGGTGGCGGTTCTCTCCCCTCCCCTCTGTATCCAACTAACCAAAAAATCGGAAATATTAAAAAAATAAACAGAAAAAAGAATAGTAAACAGAAAGGAAGAAAGAAAGAAAGAAAGAAAAGAAAGAATATAGTCATCAAAACTCACCAATGCCCACACACAGCATATTTCCCCTCGGTTGTGAGATGACCCGCGCTATCCGACAGACGTGCTCTATTGCGTCCTTGAACAGCACCAGGTCCATCTTCACCACCCCTGGGCTGCTGTTGTATTCCTCCAGCTGGTTCGCGACGTACCTGCGAGTCAGGTACGACGCTGTTTTTCATTGAATAATCGTTAGAGGTATTTTCAAACTTCCATCCATACTACCTCAATTACCTCCAAACTCTGCAAGATTATGGAGCGTATATTGAACGCCCGCTTAATGGCATATCTAGATCAGAATGACCTCCTTAGTGACCGGTTTTCGCCGAAAAAGACTTAGTCTATCTCCAATCTTATCTACTGTGGATATTATATCCACTTGTGTGCACATGTTCAAAGGTTGGATAAAATTAAGCGAGTGGATAAACATTTTCTCCTTTCCCCTGGGATAAAATTGTCTCCTGCCCATGCTAGCCCTGCTGGATGATTTGAGAAACTGTGGCAGATGTAAAAGCTCACGTCATATATTTAATAAATAAGTAATAAAGATATAAGATACAATAAAATACAAATAAATAGAATATAATTAGTAAAAATATACATACTTAATATCTACTATATAATATAGAATAAATAAATGATAATAGATTTTTGTTTATAAATAATTTTCTGTATTTCAGGAAAACTTACAGTTATTTACGATCAATTGTTTTTACACATGTATGTAAACAATTAACCATTAAAAAGTTTTCACGTGTAGATTAGAAAATAAAAGGATAGAGGACGCATACTAACAAAGTTTGCGATAAAGCCAGACAACCATTATCTTTTCTGCCGACTTCCAAAAAGGAGACGGTACTCAATTGGACACGTATGTTTTTTTTATGTGTGTTACCTCATAACTTTTTATTGGGTGGACCGATTTCGATGATTCTTTTTTATATGAAAGCTGATACTTCTCGTGTGGTCCCATATGAATTTGATCAAGGTCAGACCAATAGTTTTTGAGTTATTTGAGTTATTCTTAATAACTTATATTGAAGTCGGATATACAAAATTTGTAATTTTAAATTATAACTTAACGTAATGTAGATAAGACTAATGTTATGTATGCTCAAAACATTAAGAAACTTATCTCCAATATTCGCTTTAATGTAACAGTATTTTTGGAAATATATCCGCATCGATTTTATATCACTCATTGAATTAATAAAGTCTGCAAGTGCGAACAATTTAAAAAGGACCCTTACGAAGTGGACCTTTTTCCTGGAAGAGACTTGTTGGAACAATTGTCGTAGATATTTTTATTTTATTATTAATTCAGGTCAACAACAGCATCTTAACCATTTCACTATCCCGTGAGTCATATATACACATTTCGATTATTAAACTGTTTTTATTTGTATTTTCGCGGAAAGGCAAAATGTTAACACTATCAATTTTTACATAGACCACTGTAACAAAATTCAATTAGAAGTGTCCATACGATGTGGATGTTTGTCCACAACTTTTTTGAAAACAAACTGCGTACAAAAATTACAGAAAAGAGAAAAAAATATATATCCTAAGTCAATGCTACAACCAAGAGAAATCTAGGGACACCGCATCTATTAAAGTACATCCTTTTAGCCAACAAAGCGTGTCAAAAAATATACATGCCCTCCTTCTGGGGTAGTCGGGTAAAAATAATTAAAATCCTTACTTTCTCAACGCCTCAGGGTCGTTCATATCGTCGTACACTTCATACGGGTTAAGGAAATGCCCGAAAATTGGCGGGCTCTTCGAGGGACAGAGGGCGTGGAAGGTCAGCTCAAAGTGCTTGCCCAACATTTCACCCATTTGATTCATGAACCAGTCGCGGTCCCTGTAACATTAAAAATTCTGTTATTAACTTTTTTTTATAGAATATGAGTGACAAACGAGCGTCCAGACCATCTGAGGGTAAGTGGCTGCTGTGACCCACAGACATCTACATCTACTCTCAATTAAGAATCAAAACGCAAGGTGTGTCGTCACCCCTGAGGACTAAGATGGAATGTTTCGTTTCCAGTAAAAAGGATCTCCGGTAACTTCCAAAAAAAAATCTTACCAAAAAAAGTAAAAGTTGATATTTGGACCAGGCCCCGTATTCATTAAATTAATTTTACAGATTTTATCGCGTTTAATTTTAACTTTTTAATTCCCGACGTCTCGAGTGCTTTACAGCACCCATGGTCACAGAGGGGAATGAGGTGTTTGACGTGCCGATGTCACTTCCCTGGATGTCCATGCATGGTTAGTAATACCTTTGCGTATAGGTTTGTGCAACACGCATTGGCGCAGCGCGGTGGACATTTCCTTGCCCTAAAACACTCCCAGAAATCAGAGGAGGCCTGTGCCCAGCAGTGGGACGTATATATGCTGTAACTTTAAGGTGGAAGCGCTAGGGTAGCTCGTGAAATTCAAATTTTCTTAGGTTTTTTGCAATTTGCAGGTCAGTGTCAGGTTGCATGTTTAACAAAATATGATTCGCGACAGTAACGAGTATGTATTTAAAGAATTATAATCATTATAATCATCAATACAACCGTCTATGTTCGTATAATTCCAATGTATGGCTATATCCAGAAAAACTCATTCAAAGGAATTATACGAACTTAGGGGGTTGTATTGATTATTATAATTCTGTTAATTAAAATATCTATTGATTACTACAGCGCAATATTGCGAAAATCGGACGTATACAACGGGGACCATATTTTTTAAATAAATTTTAATTTTTTCGTGATAACTAAGGTTTGTTTCCTTTTTCTAACACCCCCCGACACAAAGGTCCAATTCGCCAATGAACAAACACGTACATTTCTTTTTAGTCCTCATTGACTACACCAACCCTGTCAACGTCATTGATGTTTACTTAATGTCTAAATATACTCACTTTTCTTCAGTTAGTCGGTCGCAGAAGACCCTGAAACACTCGTGGATCCACAGTCGAAGGAACCGCGGCTTGGTGTTCTGATAATCCTTGTTGCTTCTTAAGAGACCCTGATAAAGAAATATTCATTCATGCATTACAAACTTTCAGAATCAGCTTTTGTACATCCCTCCCCCATAGATTGTCTTATAGGGCTCACCCCTAATTGCCATAGTCGCCACGCTTGGCAGGCGGGTTAGCAACTGCAGTTTATTTTTTATTTTTAGTTGTTATTAGGAAGACGTTGCTGCCCAGCTTCTGGTTTATTTCTTCTGACGTCACTTGACGACCCCCAAGGGACGATATTTTTTTTATATAGTATAGGGTGACACACAGTCCACCTGATGGTAAATGGTTACTGTGAGCCATAGACATCTACAGCTATCCTCAATAAAGAATCAAAACGCAGATGCGTTGTCACCCGAGAGGACTAAGATGGAATGCCTCTTTTCCAGTAAAAAGGGTCCACGGTTCTCTACACTCACCATACGAAACACAGCAGTGTTAAGCTGCTATTTGACGCTGGTATTCTGTGAGAGCGTGGTCCTTCCCCGGTCGAGCCGACCCATTCGTGCTACAGCTATACTACTAATATAGCTACAGCATGGATCTACAACGTATAAAAATATAGAGGTATAGAGTAGTGGATATAGGGTATCCACTACCCTTTATCTACTACCCTATACCTATTTTAACTCTCGACGAAAACAGAGGGGTTCTATATGTTTGTAGTGTGTGTTTATGTATCTGTGTAGCTGTGTATCTGTGTGTCTGTCTGTGGCATCACAGCTCCTGAAATGATGAAACGATTCTGAAAAAAGTATTCTTTCGTTTGAAAGGTGTCTTAATAGAGAGTGTTCTTAGCTTAACTTCAACAAAATATGTTCAGCCGTTTGAAGATCACCAGCTATTTTGTTCCGGGGTTCACAAGAGCACAGTGTTCCGGTCTAAAGGATATTTACAGGCTGTAAGACGTTCCATCTTGGTCTTCAGAAGTGACACCGCCTGTAGCCTTCTTTGTTTGAAGTTGTAAACACTTACTAATCTGATGATATAAAATATATCTCGGAAAATATTCTCATTATATATTCATTTAAAAGTTGTGAATTAAAATGTAGTTCACAAAAAGGATACCTGAAATATCTTAGAGATGTCTCTCAAATTGAACAAATAGTGCATTTTGCTGGGCGTCGGTAGCAGTTTGGCTACAATGTTGTGGAAAAGGTCAATCGTTGCCAGAAGCACCACCTTGCCTATAAACATAAATGATAAAACATTGTTATTTTTTAAAGCTAAGTTCAAAACTTTTTTAATGGAACTAGTTCTTTCACAGATTTATTGGCAAATAATTAACTTACTATATTATTAGTTAGTTAAGTAGTGGGTGTAAGTGTGACTGCTGATTTTGTGGTTCCGGGTTTTAATTCCGAATCGGACCAAAAATTTGTTGGTTTTCTCTGTCAGGACATTTTTAGTAACAGCCTGGAGTAAGGAAGTTGGCGGTGTTTTACCCCCGTATTTCGGTAAGCACGTAAAGCCGTTAGTCCTTTGCCTGATCTCTTCCCGGTCGTGTCCGATTGCAGTCTCATTGGACTATGAGAGTGAGGGAATAAAATGTGCACTTATGTGTATGAGCACACACTCGTGCACTATAATCCTGTCCTGCACAGATGGTTGGTACCGTTATTACTTCCCACTTTGACTGAAATTCGGTGTAGGAGACATTATTTAGGTGGTCTTTTTTTAAAGGAGAGGGGGGCAAACGAGCACACGACTCATCTGATGGTAAGTGATTACCGCCGCCCATGAACAACTGCAACACCAGGGGAATTTTAGATGCGTTACCGGCCTTTTAAAAAGGAGTACGCTCTTTTCTTGAAGGTCCCTAAGAAGTGTAGTCGTTGGCGGCGGTAGTCACTTACCAACAAGTGAGCCGTATGCTTGTTCGCCCTCTCTCCTATAAAAAAAGCAGGTCTCTTTTGAAACGTCACGCTTGTGCCTAGTCGATCGTCGATTGCAGTGGCTAACATCTCGCCAACTTTAACGCTAATGTGTGTCACTGGGCTAGGTATTTTACGTCTGACCCAAACGAGATCTTAAACGTGAACGCACACTATACGAGCCAAACGCGACGAACTAAACGAATTTTTATATTCTTTATTTGAAATCATATGACACCTTGCACATCTGTCCGCATCGAATCGTCCGAACCTGCAACAACCCCAGAAAACTAGAGGAATTGGGATGACGTCATCAGATTCGGCGCGGGCGATGCGGTCGAGTCGAATCGACCGATGCGCTCGCATTCTCAACGTGCGAGTACTAAATTCAATTTTTTTTTTAGAATGAGTGCTTCTAATTTAATTGAATTAGTACATTCTTTATCTTCCATTAATAAAGCACTGACAATAAAAATCTTGTCAAGATCTATCACAATTCACTTGTAACTAATTACAGATTTTTTCGGCGCGGTCGATTCATTCGGTGTGTGCGAGGCTTTCTTGACTTCGATTCCTTCGATGCGTTCGGCTCGGATAAGTGTGCGTACCTTTATACCGCCATCTACCGGATGTTGTAAGATTTTTTTTTGGTATTTCCCATAGTTCCCTAATACGAAACTCACGAAACGAAAATTGTTGTAATTTGTTTTATACAAATGTGTATGTAAGTTGCTTAAAAAAGCGTGTTTTTTATGGAATAAGACACTAACTCACGAGAACACAGTCCACTTGAAATTGAGTTGCTACTGAGGTTTTTAGACAGTTTAGGCCCAAAAATGGTCATTTGAGACGGCATCCAATCGCCTCCGACTTAGTGAATCGCCCGATGGTGTTAGGTGTCACGCGCGTTGCGGGTATCGGTATGCAGCTTCCCAGCGTTTGGCGCTCGTGGGCGAAAACCGTAGCTTGAGTGCAGCGACGCCGTCGCAACGCAACGTATTTGTGGTGACCGTGGCAGCGATTTCGTGCGATCAGTTTTGGTTTTATGGTCTAGATTTTCAGTATTTGTGCGCGTTACTTCGCTACTTAAATTGTGTTTCGTGAAGACCGCCTCGGATTAGGTTGTCTAAGTATTGGAGTGAGTCTACTCGGGCCGCGTGATCACTGCCTTAGAAGGTCGCGTTCGATTCTCGAAATAATTTGTTGCTGAGTGAACGGAAGTGAACTTTGACCCACTGTTCATCAGTCGTACCGCGTGTTACGTTTTTGATTATAATTAACGGGATTTAGTTGAGTTTTGAAGTTAGTTAAATGTACAATAAAGTTGCTAGACTGACATAGTGAATTGAAGAGACAATCATTGTGAGGAACTACCGGTTGTAAAGGACGCGTGTGGAATGATAACGTCGATTTAAGTGCCTCTCATTTTCGCGTTTCTTTTTTGTTTTTTTTACGTGTCAACGAGGCTGAATTTTGAGTTTGAGCGATTAATTAACGTCGTACAATAATTAGCGTCAAGTGGTATAGTGTGTACAAAATCTATCCTCGATTAGAAATCAAAATGGAGTTGCGTTGTCGCCCCTGAGGACTAAGATGAAATGCTTCGTTTCAAGTAAAAAGGATCACCGCTTCTCGACACTCACTGTGCTATTTTAAGTTGGTATTAAGTGAGAGCGTGGTTCTTCTTGAATTGAGCCGACTTATTAGCGTTACAACCATAATACAGCTACAGCACAACTTTACCACGTATAAAATTGTCAGTGTATAGAGATAGCTTTAAGTGCGTGGTATAGTTAACGAGAGTGAGTGATAACTCACCGACGGTCTTTGTTTCCTCGTCGAAGTCGGCGAGGTGCTGTGCCAGCATGGTGCCGAAGATGTTGGTGAGCTGCTGATGCGTGGGCGCGGGCAGGAAGAAGGCGTGGAAGCTTGACAGCAGGCGCGCCGGCAGCGCACTGCGCGCGCCGCCCGCCGGCCCCGCCGCGCCGCACACCACCATGCCCTGATGCCATCACCACGACTCAATGGCGGTAAATCATTTTACGCTCAACAGGTGTCGCTAGTTGGGACTGAGGTGAACTTATTTGCTACGGAGATGGTCACACAGTGTTATTGTCATTGAATAGTTGCGTTTTAAATAATATATTTTCGGTTTCTTTTGTATTCGTTAATTTTGTAAACATTTTAATATTTTTTTAATTTTTGTTTTTCGTTTGGTTTATCCATATCTAATATAATAAATTTAAAATAAAACTAATATTTCAGAAAAAGAACATTAATATCAACACTTTATCTAACAAATAATTTTCCCCCGCTATGAAATCTATCAAATTTTTAACCTTATTCCTAAGTGACGCCGCCATGGTAGCAAAAAAAATCGTAGATTACTCCTTACATAGTTTCCACTTACCTATTATTCGCCAGTGAGAGGCTGGCAGGAATCCGCCAGGCAAGTCGTCGTCAACCCCCCCCCCCCCCCTGCTCCTATTGTCGAGCATCTGATCACCGGGTAACGTCGTGCCCGAAATTATTAGGTAAGCCGGTTCCGGCGAGGCGAACTATCGCCAAAGAGCGTCGCTGGTGCTGCTCATGTTTGGGAGGGCACCTCCAGCGAGACTGTCCGCATCGGCGGCCCTGTCTGCATTGCCAGGGCAAGCACCATGCAGTTTTGTGCCTGGGTGCGAACGGCGTCTCCTCTCAGGGCTCTGCCAGGCCCTCGACCCACACGGGCGGGAGCACTCAGCCACGCCCTCTGCCGGGCGACTCTCTGCGCCCGCCGGCCAGCCACCGGGCCCCTAGGTTTGGAAGGGGTCCCTCCCCGACGAGTCGGGGGGTAATTCCCCCAGGGGTGTCACCCCCCCCCCCTCAGCGTGTGGAGAGAAACTTCACGGCCACTCATCGGTCCGCTGGACCCTTCTCACTCCCGTTAGCTGAGTGGCCGCGACTGGTGTACCACTGTTCCCATTTGATGGAGGCGGCCCTGGCTAGCTGCCGCCTTAGCTCCCACCACGGCCGCCTCCACTGAGCCTTAAGCCGTCGACAGTCCACTTGTCAAAATGTTCTGTTGCCAACGGCCTCAGTGAAGGCGTACAAGCCGAGTGGCGACTGTTAGCGGTTCGCGCTCTATTGGTCTCGGGTTCACACCGTGTGGCCTCCTCTTGGTGGTGGGAAGATTAGGGGCCCCCTGGAGCGTTGAATCACGCTGTCAAGGGGTATTAGATTTGGTTTGGTCGAGCACTTAGTTAAAAATTCTTTGAATTAAAATTAAAAAATGCTTTGGGCTTTCCGCGAAATTTTCCTATTTGTAGCGGTTGTGATTAAAAGAATTGAATTTAATCTACTCCTTTAAATGCTGCTGCATATGTTTTGTAAATATATTTAATCGCTGCATTTGATTGTTGCGCCTGGTTGCTGAAAAAAAAATTGAATTCATTTGAAATTGAATGTCGCGCTATTTGGAAAATTATGTATATGTTTTGTGATAGTGTTTAATCATTTTGCTTTGTGAAAAAGAAGGCTGAAATTAGATAGACCCTATTTGTGCCGAAGTAAATAAAAGCCAATTATCTTTTGGTTTACATTTTGTTGGCACTGTCTAAGTTATTTAAATGAGAAATAGGGCTGTCTCTTGCGTCTATTGTTTTGTTTAATTTGTCAAGTTGGCCTATGTGCATCGGTGATTAATTTGGTTGAATTGATTCTGTAGTTGAACATTGATGCTTTGAAAAATTAGTTGAAATATGAGCATAGCCGAAACTAATCATAGGAGCACAGATAGGTGTTTGAAGGAGGTCGTCGGACTTCTGTCTAGGAATAGGACTTATTTATGGGCTGCGATGTCCAGGAAGGGCATCCAGTTCAACCCTCCGGCTTGCCCACATTGGAGCGGTAATTTTGAGGCGTTGGTTAGGGTTGCAAGATCTGATGGGGTGCCTAAGGTGGCCTAGTTTGGTTGTAGATTCGATCTTGCAACTTGCCGTCGCGACCTTGTCCCGCTGACCGGTTTGGTCGCGGACCTAAATCCTTATGTCCGGGACGGGGGTTTGTTCGCGCCAAACGCTGTTGTCGGAGTCGACGTATAGGGGGCGCGCGGCTGGGTGCCATACCGTTTTGACAGTTGGATGTGTCTAGCGCGCGCGAGGGCAAGTTAGTCGTCAGTCAGCTGTGCTTGGGACAGCACGCTGTCATTTTTGTCGGGAACTCGGAATAATTAGGCGCGGCCAGTAAATATACGGTCTAGGATTTGTGACGCGCATTCCTGCTGGAGAGCTTCCCAGGGACTCATTGTGTCTGACTCAGAATCTGCATAAGTGCATTTGGCAATATTAGCTAGTGCGGCCTTTGATATTCTAGAAATAACTGTTGCTACGCGAAACGGTAGTGACCTTTGACCCGGACACTCCGTGTGCGTTTTGTGCGTTAACCTTATACCCAACGAGAGTTAGTGGCTTCTGTAAGTTAGTTAATCGTACGATAGAGTTAATTGACTGTCATCGTGACGAACGAGGAAAGTGACTGTGAACAACGCCGCGGAAGGTTTCCTCAATTTGGAGCGGTATCGACGCCCGGGCTGCTGCCGACGGCCAAGGTCTAGGGTCAATCACCATCAGTCACACCCAGATACACATCACATCACCTTATTTCCTTTGCACTACACAACCACATGCGACCTGACCGACTCCGGAGGGACCAGTCGCCTTGGATATGGGTAAGTAAGCTCCGTCTAATATCCTCCCGGTCGACTGGCCGTAGTATAGAACGCTCCGCTATATAGTTTAGTGTAATTAGAGATTTTCCATTTTGGCCTGGAAGAGGCCCGACCTACGTCTGCTCGTCGAAACTCAGTTGAATGGGCCCCTGAGGATTTGACCTTTAAGGGAGCAGCCGTAGGCCGTAACACCTATTTCTGCCGCCATTGTTCCAGTCTAAAAACTAATGAGACAGTACAGCAACAGCCTTAAGGCATTCCAGCTAGACCTTAGGGATAAAAACATATCTATAGCCTACTTTTACGAATTCTATCGCGTTTAAATAACTTATTTTTTATTGATTCTCGACGTTTCGGGTACTTTACAGCACCCTTGGTCACTGGGACTGAGATGATTGACGTCCCGATATCAGAGTTAACCCGGAGTCCCTTCAGCTTTTTTAATTATTAATTTTGGTCCGATCTACGCAGAATGAACTTACCGTGTCTTGAAGTCTTGCAATGGTATGCTTAGGTTTAGTTGTAATTTTTTTCACGTCAGCTATGTGTTCATTTCACGTCAGCTATATGACGTGAAACCCCAATGTTCCGGGCAGTCTGCAGTTTGTGCAAGGGGTCTAGGATATGAATCCTAGACCCCTTGTAAAACCAAATTGATTTGTATGAAACAATTTATTTATATTAAAAAAAAATAATATCTGATCTAATATAATTTTTTCAAAAATTTTACTTAATGGTGGTAGTACAGAAATTGGTATGAAATTGGTGGGGTTTAATGTACTGCCAAATTTAAATAAAGGTATGACTTTCCAATGTTTCATTAGTTCAGGAACACACCAGATTCAACGCTTGTATAAGGTGCTATTGTATCTATTATATTATTTATTGTATATTCATTATATATAGTAAGCCACTGCTTGACCATAATCCTACCAGATGGCTCACCATGGTGATGAAGCCCCATATGTTAAATCGCACTGTCTTAGCGTAAAAACCTATTCAATATTCTTGCTTTTTTTTACAGGATAGGGTGACAAACGAGCACACAGTCCACCTGATGGTAAGTGGTTACTGTGACCCATAGACATCTACATCTATCCTCAATAAAGACTCAAGATGCAGATACGTTGTCACCCGTGAGGACTAAGATGGAATGCCTCTTTGCCAGTAAAAAGGGTCTCCGGTTCTCTACACTCACCATACGAAACACAGCAGCGTTAAGCTGCTATTTTACGCTGGTTTTCTGTGAGAGCGTGATCCTTCCCCGGTCGAGCCGACCCATTCGTGCTACAACCATAATATAGCTGCAGCATGGCTCTACCACTCGCAATACGAATCACGAAAGGCGAAGCAAGCCATTTAGTTTGAATGAGTGGTGGATCGAAAACAATGGTGGAAAGGGGAAGGAGGAATTAAAGCATGTAATTCTTGCGCACACATTTCGAAATGTATCCTATAGAATGCAGAGAGGCTGGCTACTCTGCCGGACTCGATGCTGACAAATTAACGTAAAAACATATAGTCGTCAGTCCGTACACTATCAGCAAAACGTTTACAGGTAACTTCGCTTCATACCTTAACGTTCTTCCTCCACTGCTTCTGACGGTCGAACCAGTAGCCATAGTCCAGCCACAGTCTCACCAGTTCCAGCGGTGGCTGTGAGCCGTATTCATCCTTCACCGGCATATTGATGTCGTCCATGAACGCTATCATCTTTTTACCTGAGAAATATTCAGTTTAGACAGTTGTGCTATGACAGGCCAGACGAGTTAGAAAAGTTAATTTTCTACAATCGTCAACGCTAATAGAAAACTATAAAAATGAATGGGAATGACGCATTCACACGTTAAGTTATTTGAGTTATATACATATGAGTAAAACGTCTCCCACACACAAGCGGCTTGCAGTGGCGGCTAACCGCGAGTCGCAGCTCCGGCCGCTATAACAACACACCACCGTGGTCGCAGTGGCGGCCTGAAGCGCCATTCGCTTTTGGTGTCTGAGTTAAGATCAGGCGTCAGTCTAAATTGCTAACCGTGAGGAAGTCTTATTATATCCCATATTTTGTTTTTAATCCTAATGCTTATGTAATCACGGTGTGAAGTATCATACAGTACTGGGGATAATTTTGCACAGTTTCTATTAAAATCTTTGTATAAAGCGCCATTTTGCACACGGTACACGCGGCCTGTTGTAACAATTAAGTGAGCGCGTTGCGGCCACCGACAGGGCGCACGTGTACGCGCTGCGACGGAGGGGGCGGGGCGCGGCCGCGGCAGCCGCTCGCAGGCCGCTTGTGTGTGGAAAACGATTAAACAAAATATAGAAAGTCAACTTGGCTAACCGTGAGTACATCTTTGATGTTACTATATACAAACGGTCAACCTCTTAAGTTCTTTAATATCAAACAAACAAAACACATTAAACTTTTACACGTGGTAGTCCACTCCGTAGCTATAATATGCAACAATTTAAAATTTGTCTCATATTATCATCCCATCGATATAAAAGGCGACAGAGGGAGACTAACCAAGAGGAGAGCAGCAGCATCTTCGTAACAACAATTTAAAATTAAAATAAATCGGTTGCCAACCAGCCAGCCAAGCGTGGCTACTGTGACAAATATAGGGAATATTTGCCATATAAGGGAATCTATGGGAGAGGACTAAGTTCAGCAGTGAATATACAAGAACTGCTCACTTAAAGTATATGAAAGACCCTTATGACTGATTTAGTACATTTGAACAGTGTCAAAAGTCATACCTCCGGCAGGAACGTAGTTGCCCTTCGTCCGTTTCTCAAGTCGCGCTTCGATCATATCTTGAACGTTCGCGGCCGTTGTCTGTGCAGACATGTTGATGACTTGGCTGCTGTATCTGTAAGAGATGAAAGAAAATTATATCAGTGTTTTGTAATCCATTACAGCCTATAAAGGTCCCCATAGTTTGCTTCATAAGGGGGCAAATTTGCCCTAATTGTTACGCTTGGCAGGCGGGTTGGCAACCGCAGTTTTTTTATTAACTTACTAGCTGTTCCCCGCGACTTCGCCCGCGTGTAATTTAGCGTTTTAATTTTGTTGCGCGCAACCTTAATAACTTTTCCAAAATATAAGTAGCCTAAGTTAATCCTTATAACATGAGCTTTCTACCAGTCAGTCCCGTCAAAATCGGTCCAGCCGTTTTGAGATTAGCCGGAACAAACAGACAGACGGATAAATAAACAGACAGACAGACAAAAATGTTAAAAATTGTGTTTTTGTTATAAGTACCGTATATACTTTGTACATATAATATGCAATTAGTAAAAGGCTGTTATTTTGACATTACAGTCACTTCAATTTTATTTATTTGTATAGATATAGATTTTTATTATTTTAAATAGTAATCAGGAAGATGCTGCTGCCCATCTCCTATTATGTAAAGTTTCCTACTGGCATCTTCATCGACACATTACTTTTATACTGACACTACAAGGAAGCATGAAAATGGAACAATAGCTTTCCTTTGAGGTGGGCATCCTGTAAGAAAAAATTTTGAAATAAAAACTCTTAGGAGTTAAATTACTTAGTATGAACATTTCAATTTTACGGGACGATTTCATATTTGTATAGAGAAAAATCATTTAATGATTTTTGTAACTAGAAAATGGGTAGCAGCACTTTTAGATTATAACTTAAATTGAAAAAAAAATAATACCCCTTATAAAATAAAAACACCAGAAACAAAAAGAGCTGGTGATCTTCAAACGGTTGAACAGATTTTCTTGAAGTATAGCTAAGAATATATCACGCAAGCATAGACACAAACACACACACCCACACACACACACACACACACACACACGCGCGCGCGCACGCACGCACGCACGCACACACACACACACACACACACACACACACACACACGTATACATAAAGTAAATAAACTAAGAATAGAATTAATACAGAATTTAAGTAATATATAACATTAATATGGATATAGAATATGTTCATCCATACTGCCTTGTAACATGGATATAGTAACGGAAGGGCGGACCCTCCAAACACAGGCATTATTTGTTTAAATGGAGGTTCAAATCTACTAGTTTTTAAGGCATTTACTTTTTAAAAACGAAATAAAATGTATTTATTTATTTAAGAACATTCTCGATTAAGACACCTTTCAAAGGAAAACAAACTTAATCAGAATCGGTTCTTCCGTTCAGGAGCTGTGATACCACAGACACACACACACAGATATACAGACAAAGATACACACAAAAAACACACCCCTCTGTTTTCGTCGGTGGTTAAAAATAATGAAATGCATAGCTTTTAATTTTCGTATTAAGTAGGATGGGACAAAGTTGCATACTAAATTATGATAATCATGTATATATTTAATAGTAATAGTAATATTGCTAATTTCGGTTTATAGTAATAATGTTAAATAAATAAATAAATGCTGACTATTCTGTCCTTGTCTTTTCATTATTATTAAATATACATCATTCATGATCATCATCATCATTGCAGTCAGTCACTTTGATCTAAATCTATACCCCGTAGTCTCGTTTGGAAGCAGCTTCTTTGAGCAGTTATCACTAACGTATATCCGCTTACAGACAATGTCACCCGTGTCACTGACAATAAGATAAAGATAAAATGATTGAACATTAATTTGAACATTTGCCAAATGTTTAAATTTTTAGTTATCGTCTCTTGTTACTTTTTACGTTTACGTTACTTACTTACTTACTCTCGTTAGTTACCTTTTTTTTTATAGGATAAGGGTGACAAACGAGCACACAGTCCACCTGATGGTAAGTGGTTGCTGCGGCCCATAGACATCTACATCTATCCTCTATTACAAATCAAAATGTAAATGCGTTGTCACCCGTGAGGACTAAGATGGAATGCCTCATTTCCAGTAAAAAGGGCCTCCGGCCACCTGCACTCACCAAGTGAAACGCAGAGGTAAACCTCTACTTCACGCTGGTATTCTGTGAGGTCGTGGTACCGCCCCGGTTCGAGCCGGCCCATCCGTGCGACAGCAAAAGCTGCCGCGTGGCTCTACCTCTTACCTTTTAAAACCCTATGTAGGAGTAGCTAAGCATTTATCTATTATATTAAAGTAATATAATAAAAGAATAGAAATAGATTTATTGTACCTCTCAGGATCTAACTGCGCAAGTGTTCCTTGAATGAGGAAAGTTTTGCCGGTTCCAGTGGGACCTCCGATGAGCACTCCATGCCCGGCCTTCAGTAAGTCCAATGATAGGATCTGGATCCGGATGAATTCAACCGTGGGCACCAAGATATTATGGAAACCAAGGCTGAAATATTAAACAGATTATTTGCATTGAGGGAAATATTTCATTAAGAGTTTATTTTAAATCTCTGTCAGGAAATGTAATGCTAAATTATCGTCGGATCATTAAGGCGCTGCGCAAACCTAGACACTTTTGTGTCTTGTGTGGGATACAAGCTACCAATCAGTATTTTATTTTCATGTATCAAATATGAAATCAGCCATTCCTTGCGCAGACGCTGACACTTTTTGTGTCCAGTTGCTTCCACTTGACCGACCGCCAATCAAACAATGTTCGGTGTAGGTAACTGGAAACTTTAAGTAGTCAGTTGAAGACACAAGCAACACAAAGCAAATTTCCTTACAATTGTACGGCGCTGACATTAACGTGGTTGTTTTGCCTGTGAATATTGACGGCGACGACGTCTACGTCAACGTGTAATCAACACAACAAGCAAAGGTAATGTTCCTCCTTCGACATCCAAGGTGAAACTGACGGAAAATAAGCAACGAATTTTCACCAGTGACCAAATGTAGTAACCGGTGACTGTGTCCGACTGCCGCTACCGGACACAGCGACTACGGTTTCCTGTGATAGAGTTCCGTGTCGGTAACGAGTGTCCACGTTTGCGCAGCGCCTAAGCTGAAGTTGCAATGGGCCGACCACATAACTCAAAGAAGCGACAACCAATGGTAAAGAAAAGTCGAAAGCCACTACTGTTAAGCTGTCTCGTATAGGACCGCCGTCACTAGATGGTAGTAGTTTAAAACATTTTTATAATTTAATCTTCCATCAACAAGTGAGCCACATGTCAAGAACTTGACTTTTTAAGGGATGATATTTTTTTAATTTTTTTTAGTGCTATAACTTCTCCATTTAGAAGTGGTTAACCAAGTTGTAAGAAAATGCTCTAACCTCCGGCGCACTCTACCACCTATGATTCGAAGCGAGTTTAAAAAGGACTGTCAAACATCGATCACTAATTTAAAAAAAAAAAACTAGATACACGATGAATGACAAAAAAAGTCCTTGCCGAATGAGCGCCCACGCGAACATTTGGGTGCGCATTTAATTTGTACGTAGCTTTGTGAATACAACTTTAGTCAATGCATTTAAGGTTGAATTTACATTAATGTATATTTATTTCAACTAGTACTACGTCAAAACAATCGCAACAAAATTTTTTGGGAACTTTTGCATGGGATTGTCTATCTAGTTTGTTTATTATATGTAGTGATCGATGCTGTCAAATCAAAATATTTCTGTCTCGGTTGACAGGATGCGGGCAAAGACGTTTTTTTCTTTATATAGAATAAGGGTGACAAACAAGCACACAGTCCACCTGATGGTAAATGGTTACTGCGGCCCATAGACATCTACATCTATCTTCGTTTGCGGATTAAAATGCAGATGCGTTGGCAGCCGTGAGGACTAAGATAAAATGCCTCTTCTCCAGTAAAAAGGGTCTCCGGTTCTCTACACTCACCATACGAAACACAGCAGCATTAAGCTGCTATTTTAGGCTGGTATTCTGTGAGCGCGTGGTCCTTCCCCGGTCGAGCTGACCCATTCGTGCTACAACTATACTATTAATATAGCTGCAGCATGGCTCTACCACGTAAAAAATGATATATATAATTATAACTTTTAACCAAAAGTAAGAACTTCTATGAATACTAATAGCCCGGCAATGAGGGCTAATAATTTTCTGCTCACCAGATGTCGCTAGTTGACACTGAGGTAAAGTTATTGTTGCACAATGTAATTTAATTGAGAACTTGTTTTTTAATAAAAGTTTATCACTTTCTAGAGTATTATATTAATACACAACACAATGCGTGAGTGGTTGGCTCTTTATTTTTTTGCACTTTTTTAACTTTGTTTTATTTTTCTACTTTTATGAATATCTGTGGTTCTGTTTATTTATTTTTAATTTTATTAATATGCAATATAGCTAATAGTGCAGAAAGAAACAATAACTTTCACTTTTTCCGAATATGAAATCTGTCAAATATTATACCTCACTTTCTAGTGGCGCCGCCCTGGTGGCAGAAAAGTCGTGAATGTTCTCAATCAGAACATACTATTTACACTATTGCATTAGTAGCATATTAAGTTTTTCTTGTTTAAATAACAAGGTGAGCGTGCATGTAATAAAAACGATAACAAAATATACCTGGGATTGTATCGCCAGTTGTCCGGCAAACGGTCCTCCCACGGACGGAATTCTCTCAGTCGTTCGTCCAGGTAATAGTCGTAAACTGTATCCTTCAATGGGAATACGCCTTCGTGTTCGCGTATCCAGTTGTCCAAACGACGGCGCGACTCTTCCTCGAGGGTCGCACAAACTGACCACACTAAACTACAAAATATATTTATAACTTTTAAAAAAAGTAAAAACCAACTTCAAATTGCTAAAAAAAGTTATTTATTGTGTAAGTATTTGGGGTGATATATTTTCTCCAATTTTATATGGCACCACCCCACCACGTATAACCTATTTAATAAAATAAGAATCATTAAAATTAATTCTCAACCTGCGAAAATATCGCGTAGCATACATGCAAAAAACATATACTCGCATTGAGAACCTCCTCCTTTTTGAAATCGGTTAAAAAGTTAAAGTATTAAAGTTAAACTGTATTTAATTGCGACGGCATAGGAGAACGTCTTACCGTCTTTCTGTCCCTTCAAAGTATACATATACCGTCACGCCTGTAATCCCGAGAGGGTAGGCAAAGTCCGAAGAGTAGCAAGCTACTCGGACTGTTTGGCCAAAAAAAAGTTTAGTGAAAAATTGTGAAATAATAGTGAAAAATTGTGAAAGAACTGTTAGGTGGTTAGTACATCGATTACACAATCATAGACCCAGTATCACATAAAGCCCCGGATACACTACGGGACATTTTTCCCGCAACGTGACGCGGAACACTCAATCTTCATGACGATGCAACGTTGCACAGTGACCCGCAACATTTTACGTGACAAGGGACATGTTGCTGGTTCCCGCACCGAGAGCGAGCGTACGTGTCCCGCGTCAGTATCGCGCCATTTGTTCCCGGGTGTAGTCATATATAATGTACTCTGTAGGTGTAGTCGTGTGCGCAACTTGTTTTGTAACATGTAAGTACTGTGGGAATCAGAGTCACGTTTTGTTGTTTTTTTTTATAGGATAGGGTGAAAAACGAGCACACAGCTCACCTGAAGGTAAGTGGTTGTGACCCATAGACATCTACATTTATTCTCAATAAGAATCAAAATGCGTCGTCACCCGTGAGGACCAAGATGGAATGCCTCTTTTGCAATAAAATGGGTCTCCGGTTCTCTACACTCACCATACGCAACACAGCAGTGTCAAGCTGCTATTTTACGCTGGTATTCTGTGAGAGCGTGGTCCTTCCCCGGTCGAGCCGATCCATTCGTGCTACAACTATACTACTAATATAGCTGCAGCATGGCTCTACCACGTAAAAAAATCTTATCTATCTATCTTCAAATAAGAATCAAAATGCAGATGTGTTGGCACTCCTTAGGACTAAGATGGTATGCCTTGTAAAAGGGTCTCACTCAATGCACAAACAATCTCTGATCGATCGCTATCTGTGTAAGAGCACTCACGCAAACTGGAAGAGCGTCTTGGTGAAGGTGTCGTCGTTGGCAACCTACGTGTCGGGCCACGAGACAGGCGGAGTACGTGACAGCAGGCGGAAGAGCGTGCGCACTCTTCTGAACTCATGACGGAATGGTACATGCACTAACATCTATCTCTGAGAGCGTAGCACTCACGCGAACAGGAAGCGCATCTTGGTGAAGGTGTCGTCGTCGCCGTCCTGCGTGTCGGGCCGCGGGGCGGGCGGGGCGCGCGGCAGCAGGCGGCAGAGCGCGCGCACGCCGCTGAGCTCGTGGCCGCACACGCCCGCCCGCAGCGCGCGCAGCTGCTGCAGCACCGCGCCCAGGATGCTCTGGAAGTGGCGCCGCAGCTGCGACACGCACACTCCGTCACACAACTCACACTACCAACCTCTTACGACACGCACAGGACGATATGAGATAGTACAGAGGTTCCCAAACTTTTTCAGATCGCGGCGCCCTTACAGGTTTAGTATTTTATCTCAGCACACTAGCTAGTCGTAATAGGGTACAATGATATTAGCTAGATAGTCACGTAAATTTAAACATCCACAATATGAATCTGAGTTTTATATTTATATTGATACAATAATACATTTTTCAATCATCAAAGCAACTCAACATCGATCACTAATAAAAAAACTAAATACACAATCCCATGCAAAAGTTCTCTAAAAAATGTCGCTAATTGTTTTGACGTAATTCTAGTTGAAATAAATATACATTCATGTAAATTCAACCTTAAACGCATTGCCTAAAGTTGTATTCACAAAGCTACGAACAAATTAAAAGGGCACCCAAATATTCGAGTGGGCGCTCATTCGATAAGGACATTTTTGTCACTGATTGTGTGTCTAGTTTTTTTATTAGTGATCGATGCAACTTAACCAATGAAACGTATGAGCTTGATGATCTCCACACATTTTTCCAAAGCGTGGGATAACGCTTGACACCGCTACTTTCATTTCATCCTCCACATTAATTTTAAAATTTCCACATATTTTTAAAAATTATTTGTTCTTTATTACAGCTACAGCTGTAAATCCAGTTTATTTTGTATCCACAAATTAATAACTTTAGTTTCCGGAGAATGGCGCGCCAAGCGTACCACGACGCCACGACGCACACTTTGGAAACCACTTGAGGTAGCATATTCTTACACCGCCACTTCACGGTTTATTGATTAATTGATAGATATATAATATGTAAGCGATTATTCCATGAACAATGGTTGTAAGGAATGTGCATTACGGCAATCTAAGGAGTCAATACTTAAAAATAGGATTCCTATATTTGGTCCTTCTTTGGTAATATCATATGGTATAAAAAACATGCGTGAGTGTCGTGGAACACTCGGTTGGAACGAAGTTCCTTTCGTAGTATATTATTATTGATAAACGTATTATATTATTGATTAACAAATACAAATAAATGAATTACTAGCGTCTATTAAAATGAAGCGTCATTTAAAATAAAATAATATTTCTTTCATGGCAAGATAAGAAAAAGTGCGAGGGAGATGGATGTTATTCCATATCGCTTCCTTATAGCCGCCAAGGCCGTCTACACTACGTCAGAAGGGGTGGTGACGAAAAATCTTACACTTTTTCTCGCCTAGCCTCCATCCGCCAAATTCGTACCGTCCGATAAGGAACTACGTTCCAATAATGATACAATATCCTCCAGACCAAATTTCGGTTACGGCGGCCTGTCTAAACGAGACTAACTATCAGCGCACGACATACTGCGAAAGTGTGTACGCACGCACAGGTGCACCATCTATACCCGCACACTCGTAGTTGCACAACTTCCTTGTAGAATCGAATACCACCAGCAATTTTTCCGAACCGTTACGACTTAGGGACCCTCAAGAAAAGGGCAACACACCTGCAATTCGCATGGTGTTGCAGTCGTTCATGGGCGTCGGTAACTTACCATCAGGTGAGAGGCAAGCTCGTTTACTCATATATATAAAAAAATCCAATGGGACGGCAATCCGACAAGATGATTATTAATCGCGAATAGATGTCGATATAAATAAATCTATAGTATTTTATGGATGTGGAATTTTCAACATCCACAATTATCATTCTTTGAACATTGGTAGTAGTGTAGTTGTACCACTTCTAGACCACCTGAGTCAGACGTGGTTCAACGACGTTCGTCGACGCCCGATCCTAAAAAAAAAAAAAAGGTTTTGGCATGCTCTGATCACGAATCCGCTTCCATTTTTCGTAGTCCGCGGTCCATTTTTGTGTAGAATGCACGGTTCCGGAGATGTGTAGATCAATTAGCTAATATCTAATTGATATCCGGTAAGGGCCTCCACCGTCATTAGCGTCCCATTGTTCCTATTTCTATTGTTCTATTGTTCATTAATCACCCTCATTGCAGCGTGTGCGTCGACTATATCAGTGCTATTGTTTATTATAATTCTTTGTTTATACAACGCTAATCTGAATCATCAATAAAACACATTACATAATTTTGTTACAATTTTTATTTATAAAATACAAAATCTTATTAATTATTATCTATAAAATAGGAGCGAAACATCTCATCCACTAAAATATCGTTGTACAATGTGTTCCTTGTAAATATACTCGTAAAACTATGTATTGAACATCCTTGAAACTTATATAGTAAATACATTAAGCAATATTCGCCACAAACTGAAGTCCACTCATTCTGAATCCTATCAACATTCCAGTTCCATCTTTTACAATTCCTTTTTAAAAACTCTAGATGATATCGTACAGGTGATCGTCCATATGAATCAAAATATTGACCGACGTCATTCGTATCGATATATAAAGCTACCCAATGTGACCCTGGTTTATCATCTGTATCCAAATTACATATTATATACGTTGGTACGTGGGTATACATAGGCAGTCTATTAGCTGCATAAACATTATTTTCTAGACTGGGGTGAATCTTTTTCAGATGTTGTTGTACATCTAGTGTATCCATGATATTACTGCTATTAGTAGATTATTACAGTACCTAGCTACTCAATGAATAACATAGGAATGGTCAATTATAGTGATTTCTACATATTAAATTGCATTTTTGTGATATACAAATCGTACTTGAGTCATTGATCACCAAACAAAACACAATACGAAGAAATGTTGAGATAGGCAACGGAAATGTGAGATAAACTGATATGTTTCTAAATATTAAATTGCATTTTTGTGTTATACAAATCGTACTTGAGTCATTGATCACCAAACAAAACACAATACGAAGAAATGTTGAGATCGGCAACGGAAATGTGAGATAAACTGGTTGACGCATAAAGTAATTATCAACTCATTACGGAAATACTTTAGATTAGAATTTTTACGTACTGGTGGTATATAAGACCAACAAACGCAGTCATCGAGTTAGTGTACGGTCGTTTGGCTACAGTGGATCTATCAATAGTACATTTGTGTTACTTCAATACACCAAAGGCTATGGATGTAAGTGTTTATTCTATTGACTAAATTACTTTTTTTCTGTTATTTTCATGTGTGTGTGTGTTATTTTATTTAAATATTGTGTATGTATATGATTAAGCCGTGGTAACTCAGATGGTTAGCGCTAGCTGTAAATTTCACAGTACGCGACCCGGGTTCGATCCCCGCCAGCACCAATTAAATTGTTAATAGCAATTTTAAGTGCTTATTACCACGTGCTTGGTGGTGAAGGAAAACATCGTGAGGAAACCTGCATGTCTGAGAAAATTTCGAAGGCATGTGAAGTTCACCAACACACATTGAGGGAGCGCGGCGGACATTTCCTTGCTCTAAAACCCTCTCAGAAATGAGAGGAGGCCTATGTTCAGCAGTGGACTTTAATAGGCTGTAACTTTAACTTTTTTAACTTTTATGATTAAGTGTTAACAAATTGATATTAACATGATAACTGTGTTGTTGCAGAAATCATTGAGCTTCGATGAAGATACCTATAAACAGTATTACTACTCGCCACTCTCCCCTCAAGAAGAGAGTGATAACCTCGTCATTAATTGCGCAGGGTTCGTGGGAGCTCCAATAGCATTCTGAGGGCAATATCTGATAAATTTGATTGTCCCATCCTAGGACACTGGATGCGTATGCACTTGCATGTGCCTGGTGTCATGGGGTGTCGAAAATAAAAATAATTGAAATTAAAAATGTGTGTGTAATAATTTAAGACTAACATAGGTTAAGCTAATTACTAACATAGTTATGGACTATATGTGGGTCTGAAATAAATTATTATTATTATTATTATTAATAATAATAACACATGCGATGGTGGAAAAAGAAAATCGCAATCGATTGATCATTTTTTTGAAGCTGAATCAAAAATAAAAAAGAGGAAGCTGTTATCATCAACCGTAGCACGAGCCGCTAGAGATGGTGTATCATACATTTCTACTAATTCTGACGACGGAGACCAAGCGACGCATCTCATCAAAATTGAAATGTACGATATGAAGAAGCTATCCAAGATTCCAACTACTGATCATTGGAAACATGCTTCCACGAGAATTAAATATTACGTAAAGACTAATAAGGATAGCATCTACGACAATACAAACGCCCTCGTATACAATATAACAAAGACAATAGCAGAAAGTGAAAAAGTTAAAAAATACTTTTTTAACAATGACAGTCATTAGCTGATCATTAGTGAATGTGATTCTGTTTACTTCAATTACAGGAAGACAAGAGCGGAAGGAAGAGATGAGTGTGGCATACGTGTACAAAACACATCATTGAATAACAAAACTACAACACTGAGTGGAGAAGAAAACGAGAAGAGTATGCAGTACTCAAGAGCTGAATATCCATTCTTCAGTTCAAAATCTAGCCGTTTGCTTAGTTTCGAAAACTGGCCTCTAGTTATGCGACAGAAACCTGAAGATCTTGCCGAAGCTGGTTTCTTTTATACTGGCCATGCAGACGGGACCAAGTGTTTCCATTGTGGTGGTGGTTTAAAAGATTGGGAAGATGATGATGATCCTTGGCAGCAGCATGTTCAGTGGTTTAGTCAATGTGCTTATGTAAAATTTCAACTCGAACAGTGTTTTGTATTAGATTAAATAGAAGATTTATAAAGAAATAAAAAAAATATATTGCATACAATTTGTTTTATTTAATTTTATAACGTTTCACATAGTTACATACACACAAAATGCATTACACATAACACATAAAATCTAACACACAACACATATTATAACCTTAACTACTATAGTCTACAGTAACATTTCTGTTTTTATCTATCTCAATAATATTATCAAACTCAGCATAAACTATACAGTTAATTGTTTGTATTAATGAGGATTCAAATCGTACTTCTATTCTTACACTAC